GGCTGACAGACATTGCAAAGAAGTTATGCAGCCAGTGACAACATACTCCATGACACAGCAAGTGGAACGATCAGGGAGACTGCAATACTACAAGCACACTGACTAGAAATCCTCTGCATCCTGCCTCGATGAATACCATTTCTGACTGGATAAAGCACTGAGAGCAGGGCTGCGGGTGCTTTGGATGCAGGCTGACAGCTGGATGACAGCTGGCAGTGACGCAGCTCTCACACTGGATTACAGAGTAAGAGCACAAGGAAGAGGGAAACGTTTTATGTGGTGCTCGCGCAGCACACTCATTTAAAGCAAGCAAGTTGGTTTCAAACATCGTCTGTGAGAGGTGAGAAGCCACATTTTCACACTGTGAAGGAGGTGAAGCAAACCAGACGTGTGCCAGTGAAAGGGGAATACGGAGAGATAAAACAGCACTTTAGGCCACGTGAAAATAATCAGCGTTTTTACCCTTAATGGTGTCCTGTTGAGTTTTCTTCTAAACAAACCAAAGTTCTGCTTACATTTCTCACCAAAGCGCACTGTGTGAATCTTTGTGGTCTAACCGACATGCTGAATGTATTTCCTTCCTAAACTAAATTAAATTAGTATTAAATCCAGCATTGTTTATTTGCAGTCTTCTTCTTCTGCTCTGTCTTGGAATACTGAGAAACCTTCGGCAGGAATGCAACACGTCAACCATGTGCATCCTCATAACACAAGGGGGAAGAGGAGCTCCATAGTTGAGTTGGAACCAATCTGATCCAATATCAGTACGCCGATACTGACATAATATAACATGAGACTGAGTGAGCTTGGAACAATCTGGAGATATTCTAGTCTGGAAACAGAAAAGCAATTTGTAATGTGTGCAAAGCCAACATCAGTATCGGTATCAGCAGATATCAGAATTTATGTATCATAATTGGATCGGAAGTGAAAAGAAGTGTATCATGATCTCTACTACATAGTGTTAGAGGTCCAACTATCCGTGGCTGCTACATGAATACATCATTTCAAAGCCCCTGAACACAACCTACTGAAGCACACATAAATGACAACTTTTGGCGCCCGGTTAGCTCAGTCGGTAGAGCTGGTGACCCATACACGGAGTTGCTGCAGCGGCCTGAGTTTGAGTCCGACCTGCGGCCCTTTGCTGCGTGTCATCCCCTCTCTGTCTCTACCCACCTTTCCTGTCGCTCTTCAGCTGTCTCTGTCCAATAAAAGCAGGAAAAAGGCCACAAAAAAAGACAACTTTTGACAGAATAAAGCAACACAAAGCCAAATGGCTTGGTTCCATATGTATGATGTTTAAAATGCAGATCTCCATCAAAGGCCTAAAGGCCTCGTGGAAATGAATCCCAGAAGCAGCTAACCAAGATGAGACAGCTGTGTGTGAACAGCAAGATGAGTGATTGAGGTTGAGAAGAGCAGCAGCCATTCTTTTCTCTTTACTGGACCAACTTTGGTCCAGGCCTGATCCTGGAGCACACCGAAGCACACATTTGAGCACATTGGTAATATATTGGTATTCCAACTACCTAAACTTAAAACCGAGCTGCAGTCAAGACCACCTTTGTCAAGACTAGATCAATTCCAAAAGGAGCCAGGTTCAAAGGTTTGGAGAGACCTAAATGATTATGTAACATGCTGAATCGAACCAGCTCCAAAAGGCACAGTGTGTTCTTTTTCACTGTGAAACTACTACTCTGCAGCACTGGCTAATGACTAACTTACCTGATTATATTATATTTAGTAGTATTTTATTGGAAATTATTATTATTATCATTATTTTTTACTTAACTCATTTAATTTTCTCATTCTTGCAGGATTAAAACAGTCCTATTAAGGGATAAGAGGCATACAAAATAGCCAAATAAATGCTCTCAATATTAAATTATGTATCGTTCAAGAGTTGTGTTATTAAATTGTAGTTATATTTAGCACACAAAGCCGTGTCCAGTGCCCTTATATCACTTGTGAAAACAGAAAAAGAAGCAAAACCCTTGGCAGAAGTTGAGTCTTGAGTGCAACTGTCGTCCCCCTCCTTCCCACATTCCCTTCGTCCAGTTGTCTCAGCCCCACTTGGGGGAAGACATCACTCATCAAGACAGAGCACAAATGAACTCGGGACACTCGGGGAGGGGGGTGGGTGGTGTGTGTGTGTGTGTGTGTGTACGTCATATCCAAGGCAGACAGAGCTGTGTATGTGACAGGGAAAAGAAAAAGATTCTGTAAGTCATTATAATGAGAAACTTTCTCAAAATATTGACATAGCATAGATGTTGTAGACTGTGAACAAAATCATGGACACTGTTATAGTCAGGGCTGTAAAGAATGGCATATTTTTACACATCTGTGTGTGTAACTGAGCCCCGCCCTCGGTCAGACAGACACACAGACCTGCAGATCTTTATACAGACAGAGAGCAAGCAGAGGAGAGATACGGAGACACTGTGGTAACCTGGTCGCTATGTTTTTATGGTTCTTCGAATGTTGATTTCAAATTCAAATATCAACGTTTTGAAGAAAGCTTCAAGCTTTGGTACAGGCTTGATAATAGTGGGAGCATCTGCATCCATCAGTGATTTACGCCTTTAAAGGCAGATAAGCAGGACAGTAGAACAATACGAACAAAATGCAGATGTTCATACAATCGCTGTGGAAAAAGTAAAATCTGAAGGGTGTAAGGGCCTTTTCACGTTGAACTCATCATGTTATGGCAGCTTTTCAGTCTACACACAACCCATCCTTAAACTTTTAGGTTCTATACAGACCAAAAAAAGGGTTTCCATTACAGTTCTACTCCGTCTATACAGTCATCTGCCAAACAGTGGCACCAACAACAGCTGTTTACAATCACAGCAGAACATCAGCTCATCATTCACCTCTCCCTCTCTCCTACACACACACACACACACACACACACAAAGGAAGAGGGTGTAACCTTTGCCTTGACCCTGACCCCCCAATCTCCTCCCTGCACTAACCCCTTCATGGCTCTGACAAGCTTTTCATGGACATGAATACAGAGAAACATTGAAAAATGTAAAGATAATAACCTTTTAACATCCTATACACCAACACCACAAATTAACATACAATGTAAAACCTGATGAGTTCAACTCAGTGTTTGAAGGAAACCGATTGCCTTAAACCGTTTACGTTTATTAACTAAAACTGTTTTGATAATTGATTTGAGTAGAAGTATTTATTGTTATGGTAACTTGGGTAAATTCAGTTATTGGTACCAATCCCATTCAGTTAATTAAAGTTAAAACTAGTATGTTACACTCATCGGCAGTATTTCTCCAAACTTATTTAAAATGTGTTAACAGAATTTATCAGAATGAAGTGACTTAAATGCATCTTCTTTATGTTTTTTGACCCTACTCTTACTACTACTAAACCCCTAACCCCTACTAAAGCAAATGATTACATTACCTGTCAAAACAGCTGACCTATGATAAAAACTATTTGTAACTGATTATCAAAATGGCAGCCAACAAACTTTCTGTGTTTTCTTATGTGACTAACATCAAGTCTTTACACTTTGAGGGATCATTAAGAATTATTGGATGCATACCTAATCTATACAGCAATATAGCACCGACCTTATGTTTCTGTAATGATATAAAGTCAACTTCAAGAAAATTAGTCAATGGAACAAACTGGAATTATATCACCAATACTTAAGATACTGCACACATTCAAGTTCACTCAAACTAACCTTCTTTAGAGGACTCATTTATGTTAACTTAATTCTTTTATTAAGATGTGTTGTCGGGTTTTACAATGAAGTATAATTTGTGAATTACTGTTGTAGAAATGTGTCTTTAGTTTCAGCATATGTCATAAAGACATTCATAATACACAATATCAGGTTAAGTTACTGTGTTACACACAGTCAGGCTCCTGACCAGTCTGTATCCTAGTCTACCAGATCCTACTTTCATTTATTACCTTGACAGCACCTGGCTGGGACAAAGGATTTCAGGAGGCATTTCTATTAGCAGTCAGTAGTCTATAAACAGCTCCCTGAAGGTGAGGCTCAAATACACTGTACAGTGGCTGAGAAGGATCATTAATTCAGTCAGCTTTACTTCTCAAGAGCTTTGTGGCTTCTTGAGATTTTGGAGGCCATGTGCACAATCGTCTGCAGCGTATTCCTCCTCTCGATGTTCAGATTAGCATACCACAAGATATGATGCTTTCCGCTAGGCTCTTACACACAGTTCCCAGAATTTTATTATCATCAAGTGGAGAAATCTCACAGTTTACACCCAACACATCTCTCTCGTGTCTCCTCGTGTTTCCAGACAGTCACTTAAAGTATGCAGCAACTGTGAACTTTCACACAGCACCACGGTTTCTGACAGAAACCAGTACAACCACAGAAAACTATTGCCCTCTCATATAGCACCGTGGCATTACCTGCCCGCCAAAAATAATTCTACCACGTATATCCTCACAGTCGTGTCCTTTAACCACAGTTACCTCCCTCCCTCTCGAGCCGCATACAGGAAACGACATATCGTATTACTTGCTAGCTGACGTTAGCTAACTAACGTGAACTAATGTAACTTACAGTTGGATAAAGGCAGCTGTAATAAGTAACAGTTACTCACTCTGCTGTTAAAGGCCATTAAATAATGCAGCAGCAATGACTTTACACAGAAGTGGACAGCATGTGAGTGTGGAGGGCTAAAGTCAGCGGTTCAATTCCCCGCCACTGACCGTTTAACGTAACGTGTCCGTGAGCAACACCGTTAACGTTACGTTTAATTGAGTTTTACTGGCGGGAGACTTTCACAGGAGTTAGCTTACACACATGAATGACATTTCTTGTGTCAATGCAGCCGAATAACAGACGGTAAATCATTACAGGCTGATATTTAAACACATTTACGGGAACGTACAGTTATGCGTCACCTGAAGTGGAGGACGGCACCGTGTCCCCGGCACCGTGTCCCCCCCCCTCTCTCACCCCCTCCCCCGGTCTCACTCACATGTCCTGAAGCGGAGGTCTTCATCTGTCTCGGAGCCGAACTCTCGGATGAGGGAGAGGAAGAGTATACCGAAGGCGTTCTGGATACCGAACACCGAGCCATTACACCACATCGCAGCCAGCATTACCACCCAACCCCAGCCGCCCTCGGGGTGCACAAACTCGACCTCCTCTGCCCCCGGAGCCGCGGTTTGTTCCGGGACGGTCACTTTGCTGTCCCCGTTCTCCTTCTTCTTCTCCCCATCCTCCTCCTCCTCCTGCGGCCGCTTCTCCTCTGCGGGCACGGCGGCGGGGACCTCATCCTTACCCGCTGTGTCACCTTCTGGCATGTTGTTCCCTTCTGTCATTGTGTTTTTAAATGTCAGGTTAATATTAAAGAGCAGAGACAGCGGTTGGAGGTATGTAGCCTACAGTGAAGGCTGAAATGAAAATTGAAATGCAGGTTATGTCTGAGTAACGGATGAAGTTGCGTCCATTGAGGTGAAGCTGTAGTTAGAGCTGTGTTGGTGGTGCTGCATCTGTTCCTACAGTAACTGTCAAATAGCTGCTGTTGCATTATTATAAATAGACAACGCGGAGGGGCGGGGCTACGCGGAATCCTGCAGCTGATTGGACACTGAAATAGTCTTAAATATCGCTTTAGTATATGCGTTTACACGACTAGTAATTAAAAAAAGGAACGTACGTACACAGCCTAATGTTTACCCCTTTAACAGCCCCCCCACTGACGTTAAGAAAGGTCTCACTTCCCCTTTTTCCAGCTGCTAAAAATAGACAAACTGCCAGGCAAGCAGATGGACAGACATGCAGACGGACATGTGCAGTAAGCAGAACATTTAACATAATAAGTGACTTAAGAATAAAACCCACACATTTAACAGACGCACTTTCATCGGTCACAAGACACACTGATGAGTCATTTTTAGATCATTTTGTAAAATGATGTTCATGTAAAATGTACAAAATATCATTTGACTACAAAAGAGTTTCTAATTGTTGCAGTTATTTAAACAATGTATGAGCACGACTCCACCAGTTTGGTAGATTAGGAGACAGAACAGAGTGCAGAGGGGTTTCTGTCGTGAATGAAGACCGCCCTGACAGATTATATGTCTCTAAACTCAAGGATTCAACTCATAATTCAAAAATATGACATTATCATTATCGTATAATCCTGTAGCTAATGTTGCAAGTTTCTGATAAGCAATAAACTAGTAGGATCATTTGTGTTTAGCTGTCAAACAGCAAACTCCTGTGGTGACGGAGATTTCTTCGTTTTTGAAAACACTGATTCACTGCACAGCGTTTTCTTCTTAAAGATTTAATGTAAGTATCTTTAATGACGACACATTTTGTCATCACATCATTGTTATCAGTTAAAGAAACAAAGCTGGATTTCTTTTAATAGTTCCCTGAAGTTCAAGTGTGAAGTTATAAATAAAATAATAATACAATAAAAAAAATTGATTTAAAGACTCTAAATGGTGAGCATGGCCTCTTTCTACTGATCCCAAAAATGCTTTTAAAAGATTGAGTCCACATAAATAAAATTCAAAAATAGTTGTACAAATAGCAGTTATCTGCGATCTGATCGACTTCTTGTGCAGCCAAAGGAATGATTAGCGAGAAAGACTGGTTTAACACTGGGAATGTGTGTGACTGGCCCTGTGACATTAACAAAGCAGGTAAGAATGTCAACACTGTTCAGTAAGAACTTCAGTAAGAACATAATGTGGGGAAATAAATACTGTGATCATAAGCAGAATCAAAGACACAGACACAGTGAAGACAGGAAATGAACATATAACAATTAAAGCTCTAATCTGCCTGTAGAGTTTGTTTTATTTCCTTTAAAGTGAGTGTTTCCAGAGAAATGACACAATTATTGACTGGCTGAAATTCAATTCATTTCCAGGCAGCCTTCCAACAGTAGATGATACATAACATTTGTTGGATTTCACCTTTTTCTGGTGTTTGTGTGGTTTTACCAGAGAACTGAGACAAAGAACCATTTGAAAGTCACATATGAAAGGGTGAAAAAAACACAATAGGAGGAGGAATAATAGATCTGCATCCTCTCTGCCTGGTGGCTGCTCACACACCCATGCATGTAAAAAGCTGGCGGTAAGCACATGGTCAGTCTTATGAACCAGGTGATGGACATCGATGTGTAAGCACTTTAGCTCTCTACTTTGGCCACTTTGGGTGCCTGTCCGTCCTGGCCTTCAGCAACCACCCCTCCCTTCCTCTTCCTCAGGCCCTTCATCTTACGTGTCTGCAGTTTGGACAGATCCTGCTTCTGCATGTGCACCCGGCCGAACTTGGTACCGAAGACATTGTGGGAAATGTTCTTCTTCTTCTTGGCCTGTAACGGTAAAAAAGACAGGCATTAACGACATGTCAGTTCGAGAGACTTACTTTTATTCCGATTTGTATTCATTTATTTTTTTTTTAAGACTTTGGACTGAGTAGATGCCTTTATATGGGTTTTAATACAGAAATTATATTTTTTTTGGCAGAAAAAAACATATCAAACATGTCTCAAAAAATGTCTGGATGATATCTTTAATGATTTACTCAACAATACACCTGCATTTAAACACTGACACAAACAGTCAATTTGTACCACAGGCCCCACTTTCCCACTACTGACACCTCTGTTCCAGTGTCAGTGTGTCAGCTGTAGTTTTAAGTATTTTATTAGTTGGTAAAACAATCTTATTCCACACAGCCTGACAGTATTTCTGATTCAACTTGTTCCAGTATTTCACTGAAGCTATAGTATTTGATGAATATTTTTGATTAGGTTGAAAAGAGTTCTGTGTTGAGCTGACTGTAAGGCCAGGGTCAATTTCCTTCCATCCATCCCCCTCCCTCCAGCCCGCGGCATAATGTCAAAAACAAAAATATAACCTGGGCCACATGATTATTATTTTAGAAATTTTTTTTTTCTAGTTGTTTCATATCATTCTAAACTAATACAATCAAAATAAAATCACAATTCTATTTTAGAAATGTATTTAGTCTGGTACAAAATAATGGCAAAGGGCACAGGTGCCTGCAAATACTTGCAAATGGTAATAAGAGAGCAGGTTTCAGGGCTTTTGATGACATAAAAATGTATAGAAACTGTTGTTTCCAATACTTTGCTACGTATGAATAATAGGAATATTAAGCTTTCTTTTAGTACTTTAACACTGAAGTGGACCCCCTATGGGATGACAATATCAGCAGTGGCCCCAAGCCAATTTGAGTGTGAGACCCCTGCTGTCCCTGCTGTGAGGGGTTTGATTCTATTCTATCTATCTAGCTCTGCTCCACATCCGGTGTAACGCGCCAGTAGACAACAGGATCATTTCAGCTCAATATTAAAATTAGTTTTTTGTTTGCACAAGTGAATAAACAGATTGTGTTGAAAATTAAGCATTTTATAAGGAGTGTAATTGAATTCAAGCATATTTCTAACCTTGAAAACACAACAATAAGCATTTCCCAAATGTTCAAGCCTTTGTACAAACTGTGAGTAGAGCTCAGGCTCGTAAAACAAAATGGTCTGTCCTCTGGCGCCACCTTCAGGACAAATTAAAACTGATTTTTGTCATTCCACTGGCAGTCAGGCTCTAAAAGCAGCGTTATAAATAGTGATTTTTCAGCCATCCAACAATTAGTTTTTTGCTTCGCCTCATGGGGCCAATAACATGCCTATAAAAAACTTTTAATATTGTTTAAAACTAATAAAAATAAATAATTGTTCATACGCACAGATTAAGCCAAGTCAAGATTTTCCCAATACAAACCACCTCTCCTCTTACTGTAATTCCCATTATCCATCAAAGGATAGCAGAGAGAGCCAGAAAAGATATGCAGGTGAATTTTACCTTCAGAGCCTTTGGCTGTCTGTGGGCTAACTTGTATAAGTCATCTGAAGCCAGATGTGTTCTTCTGAGGACTAAGTCGAATGATGGCCCGATCTCCTCGAGCTCTATCCGCGGCGTCCGGCACCCAGACTTCTTCAACAGAGACCTGCAGTGACACATAACATCAATATCTCTGTGAGGGGGGTGTTAGCAGAGAAAAGTCAACAGTGACTTTAATTTCTTTTGAAAAGCACCTAGAAGAGAATCCAAATAAAAATTCCCCAGGATTAATAATGCATTTATTTTCCACCCAGAACACAACTTTGTTACGCTGACAAATTGAAATGCAGACTTGATGTTTCTACCCAGTTCTAATGCCTATACCTGTAGCTGCGCATGTAGATTTTCCCTTCCAGGGCAGTGAAGTGCAGGACATGTTCCAAACCTGCCAGACGCACTGCAGACACAGTGGGACCTCTGAAAAAGTCTGAAATGTGGGTCAAAGAAATGGACAAGGACTGATATTAGTAGTAGAATAAAAACACACAATTTCCACCTAAATGAAATCTAGAAACACAATCACTGAGAGTAAAGGTGTATACCTATGAGCAGACTCTTCAGGCGTTTGTGTTCATTGTCGGTATCAAAAGCCTCCCCTGCAAACACAAGCATTGGTTTGGTCCCTTCAGGACATTTGCTGGCCTGCAACAGAAAAAGAAAATAGATTTTAGGGTGGGGTATTACCAGTGTTCCCCAAATCACTGGAAGACAGAGCAGAAGAAATATATGTCAAGAGTGGTATGTAAGTATAAAAATGAAGAGAAAAGGTAGACGACAATGTATGGTTTTTCCCAGCATATCCTATACAATCACATATAGTTTTTTTGTGTACAGATGTAACAAATGAGATCTATGTTAATTAGTGAGCTTTAGAGATTTAGTGGGGACATTTTTGAACTTTGGAGAGAGCCAGGCTAGCTGTTTCCCTCTGCTTTCAGCCATTATGCTAAGCTAACCATGTATTAATTAAAAGCTACTAGGCATCTTTTCCAAAATGTTTCACTGTTCGTTTTTAGTGAAATCTCCCCCAAGACTCCATGGATAGAAAAACTAAGGATAATTTATCTGTCCTGATAATTATCGTGCATCCCCAAGAAAAACACCTATTTCTGATTGAAATAAGATGTATGCTGAGACACCTCAAAATAATTCAACAATTAGTTATGTATACCAAACTGCAGGTAACCATAGCAACACAGATGCTCCATGCTACATGATGAACCTGACCATGGGGTTAAACTGAACAAATATTAAAAAGGGATGATAGTTTAAACATGGTATCAAAGCTGCAGTAGGTAACTTTTAGAACAATATCTTCTTATCATATTTGCTGAAACGTTCACTGTATCCTGACAGTAGTACATGAGACAGATAATCTGTGAAAAAATCTTCAAACCACCAATCCAAACCATCTTTGCATCTTTCTCGGCTCTGATTGGTTGTTTTCTGTTTACATGGTTTGTCTACAAGGGTGTAAATCCAATTAACAGACAACGCAGACTTTAGCTGAATAACTGCAAATGTTACCTTAATATCACTCAGAGAGACAAACTTCTCAATTCCAAGTTCAATCATGTCCAGCACGTGAAAGTCAAACATACGACCTGCAAACAGACCAAAGGAAACAAAGACACACACATCGTTTAGAGGGTAGTTCCTCAAAACGGTTCTGACGATTATCCCAGACAGGATAATATTACACATTTTCTAACACACAGCAACATTTTTAATGGAGGTCCACAGGTTAGGATTCAGCTAGATTACAGTGACAGAATGCTCAGTTGATTAGACCACTTAAAATGATTCTCTATTGATACATAAAATAAATATCAAACACTCAGTCAAAAATACAGAAAGTTTGAGTAAAGAAATGTCAGTGTGTCAAACTGAGTGAGTGATATGGAGACAGAGTGAGAGAAAAGTTACCAAATATGACGTTGTTTGGCCGTTTCTTGTTGTGGGAGCCAAACAGAAACAGAGAGCAGTCTGTCTTCTTGGAGAAAAATTCCTGAGAAAGAGTTTAAATGATTAGTAATCGAACGACATTTAAACATAATAAAGCATTTTGGGGCTTTGCACGCTTACCAGTGATGTTGAGTCCTCGAACGGCCGTGTTATGTTCTTCCTGAAACGCAAGTACAGATTTAATACGCTGCTGACAGCTCAACATCTTTCCCAACGCTCACTAATAATTAGCTGTTACTTTTCACTTCACCTAGAGTAAATAAAGACAAAGATGAAGTAGATGAATAAGAAGGATTACTTTATTAATCCCCAATGGAGAATTTATTTCCTTTTCACCCAATGTTACATGTTTACACACATAGGCCCCAAATACAACCACACACAGGGCTTATAGACAAGCAAATGTGGAGAGATGGTGGAGTGATGGGCTGTCACATAGTGGACACCTCGGCAGTGCCCAGGAGGTGGAACTGGTATCTCTCCACCTACCAGTCCACGCTCCATAGTGCTGTCTGTGCTGAACATGACCCTACAGTCCCTACAGACTGAGCTACTACCACCCCTAATTTACAGTTTATTTAAAATGCTCTTATTGTAATAATTTAAACTGGTAGATTATTTAAAAAATGAACATATATATTGTTTTAAGTTACATGTTTCACATGTGTACATTTCTGAGACATAAACCACTTACTTCTTGTACAGCACAGCATTGGGCTTCTTCAGAGCATACTGCAGAAAAACAACAGATTTCTTGTTTCAATTCACAATTCTACTAGCCAGTCCACTGTTCTTTTTTTTTATTTAAGCCTCCTCTGCATCCATCTGATTATCTGTGTGAAGTTCCAACCTCCTCTCCCACCAAAAACACTACTAATAATAATTATAGTATTTCACAGCCAGGGCTTCTTTGAAGTAACCTTTACTAATTTCAGTGAAAATTTTGAAAAAAATGGTCATTCCCTCTTATTATGAATCATACCGCAAACATTATATATCTGTCAAAAATATTCACAATATGTTTTTTTTAATCATATCCTGCAGCCCTAATACGTACGTGACTTTCTGACACATTTGACTTTTCGGTTTTGCTAACTGGGTCACATCTCACATCCTACTAGCAAATGAAACAACATTACATTCAGGTCAACCTGTAGATTGAGTAGGAAGCAGAAATGCAAATGGAGAACTGGGGTGATAAACTCATTATTTTGGTTTTAGAACATAGCTTTTGATGCTGGGATTTTATGTATTTTGTGTTAGGGTCAGGCAACAGTTACAATTAAACGAGGGGAGGAAGATTTTTTTTATTTTGCAGAATAATGTTTGATGAAATTTTGATGTTATTTGACTAAAATGGATTTTCACAGAATTTTAAATGATTGTCATTGCAATACATATAAAAAAAACCACACGTTGTTGTTTTTCACATTATACTCTGACAATTACAATAAAAATGTCCTGAACTGGATTAATTATATTAATTTAATAGTTGGCTCAGAGGTAGAGCGGGTCGTCCACTAATCCGAAGGTTGACGGTTCGATCCCTGGCTCCTCTCGCTGTATGTCAAAGTGTCCTTGAGCAAGACACTGAACCCCAAATTGCTCCTGATGCTGTGCATCAGTGTAAGTGTGTATGAATGATTAGTTTCCGTTCTGGTGAGCAGTTGGCAAGCAATGTGTGTGAATGGGTGAGGTGGCATGTAGCTGTACAGGCATTGAGTGGGGAAAGAGTAGAAAGGGAAAGACAAAGGATAGAAAGGTGATTATAGAAGTGACAGTCCATTGTCGATTGGTCTGCTGCGTACCACTTTTGTAGCTCTAAGAGCGCAACTGGAACAATAGGCGATCAGCTGTACAATATTATTCCACTGGAAACAGAATCTAAAATGTCCAGTAAAATTGTGTATTCCGACATCAAGCACGGGGTATCGAGTCTTTTTCTTTGCCTCTCGATTTTGTTGGCAAACTAGATGAAAAGACTCAAGAGGACAGCTGTTAATCATTGGGTTAACTAGGTTCGTGGGAATCTGTGTGGTAGACAGCACAGCAGGTGGAAACGTATCGCTGATCCACTTTTATTTTAAACTATTAAGAATGGACTTGCGACTTGTGAAGAGCCGGATGTGCTGTATGATTTGAAATTGTATTAGACTTAGGCTGATTTATTAGAGTTTTGTGTGTGCTTGCTATTGAGTTATTATTTGTAAACCGAATGCCGATATGCTTCTATAAATGCTTGCATGTGGCTCATGATATTTCATGAACGGTAGCTGTTACGAACACTGCTGCATAGGATTAAGTAATTTGCCGAGCGTTTATTTCCCTGGTTTCTGTGGTGTGTAGGCAGTTTTATTTAGGCGCCACCTGCTGTGTGGTTTGGACGCGTGTGTGTGTGTTTCTCTTACTCTCTCCCTATTGGAACGTGGTGGTGTGTGGGTTCTCTACTCCTCTACTCTCTCCTATTGGGGAGGAGGGGTGTGTGTGTTTCTCTCCACTCTCTCGGTACCTTGGAGGGGGTGTGTGGTGTTTCTGCTCTCTCTCTCGTCTCTTTCGTCCTGTGGAGCGGAGGCGGAGTTCCCGCTTGGTACTGGCGGTGTGATTCATAGAATACCCCCCGTCAAGAAGAGCGTTTAATGGACGGAGAGTATGTTGTTATACGTGTTGGAATATTAATTTT